TGAACATGGTGAACCTCTTCAGGTCCTGGTAGTGGTGGTGGTGACGATGGTGAAGCCGCAGATGCTGCCCAGAGCTAGCTGTCTGTCTGTCTGCCCGACATAATGTCGTCTCCTCCAGCTGTATGTCCATCTGGAATGTTGTCATGGAGCCATGTTTCTGTCAAAGCAAACACACAGCAGTCCCTCCACTCTCTGTGAGTTTCTCTCAGCAAACGTAGCTGGTCCAGCTTGTTGTGGAGGGAGCAGACACTGAAGAGTAGGAGCGACGGTCCTGCTGGTCTGGAGGGGTTAGCCTGTAGCTTAGCATGGATCCCGGCTCTCTTCCTCCTCCTTTGTTAACGTTCATACCACTTGCGCTTCCTTGTCTCTCGGGTAACTGCCGGCGTAGTCTCTAATAGGACTCCGTGTTGGTGTAGGAAGCCCAAATCACAACCCATCACCGCAATTTTAGCACTGTTTATTGTCCTGATGTTCAGCAAAGTCTCTCGGCTGTAAGTTTTGTGGAATGAACGTCTGTGATAGGCAAGACACTCAAAACGTTCACTTTCGTTGTCTAATGAAGAGGCCGCTGCGTCTATGCGCGCTGCCATCACCATGGCAACAAAAAGATTTGAATCACAGCAACAAAAGGCGTGATGACTTTTATTCCTACAGTGGGGCCTGCATTTTTAATATAATTAACCTGGACTGTTAGTTTGTAATTCTACAGAAGCACAAGTACCTTAATGTTGTGCTTTAAAAGTGATGCAATTTTAAGAGGTTACAATTTTAAAACAGTTGACATTTAAGTTATATCGCTGTCGCATTTCTTCCTATCGACAAGTGGTTTGAAGTAGTGTGGAGGACTGCTAGAAATGACTGGAGATAACGAATTTGATGTGCTGAAATATACACAGTTCTCTCACTGAAGAACTTACACACAGCAACGGATAGATAGAACCCATCAATAGAACAACACACATTTGCAGTAAAAACGACAATCCTGGTGTCAAAACTCGGAATGACACAAATTCATTCACAAAAAAATCACTGGAAAGTATTTGCTAATTTATGATTTAAGAGAGCTTTTCAACATGTGTCCTTCAGTGTTCACAGGCTGTTATTTTGTGAGGTATAATCAATCAGATGCTGTCGTCAAAGTAGCACGTTTTTAAATTATTACATTATTTAGTTATTAAATAAAAGATAACAATACAGATAATCAGAAAAGTGCTGAACATCAGATCCAATAATCACACCGGCCAATAGTCTGTGAATCCATACTTCCAATAATCTTTTTAATAGGTATTTCTCACTAGTGGATAAAGTCATCCGGCATCGCTTTACATTCTTAAGAAAAATGAACTTAGCTTCTGAACTACTCCGTGCGAATGTTGACTTTAACGATTTGTTTCAAGAACGACACGGAGCTAAACGCAAGCAGATTTAAAACAATGCAACTCAGCAGTTCTTCTGTGACGATATACCCACAGTGTTTCCTAAAATTGAAATCTCTGCTGAGTTTCATGAAGCAAAGGCGGGACGGGAAAAGAAAAGTTCATCCCAAATCCCTCAGCCCCTCTCAGCTCCTGTGACAAAGATACAGAGGTTCCAGAAGGTGAGACAGATGCTCTAAAGCAAAGATGTGCAGAATATAAGAAAGCAGGCTTACATATGTGGGTGAAAAAGCCTGTGAAAGAAAGAGAGGAGGGGAGAGGGAGAGAGAATGGGATGAGACGGGAAGGGATGAGAGGGCGAGAGGGGAGAATGCTGTGCCGATGGTTCATCAAAAATTAATGCCAACCACATCGGTATAGAGATCACGTAGTGGAAAAACAACACATGCCAACAGCCTTGAGTCTCCTGCCTCAGCCCTCCCCCCCCCCCCCCTGCCTCCCCCATTGCCTCTCCTTTACCCTGCACCCCTCCCTTGCACCGGCACAGGGCCTTTCTGATCAGGTGGAGGGGGGAGATATGAGCTCTGACACGTTCGAGAGTTCACACAGAGTGCCATGCCTCTAATTGCAGGAAGTTCCACCAGTGCAGCCGCTGTATATTTGCAGCGCGAGCCTAATTGCTGCATTTAATATCCCTAAAATGGTGATCTGAGGCACACCGCGCGTACTAATATGTGTTATAGTTTTGTGTGAGAAACCCATTATTTCTGTCCATGCCATTTATTTATTTATTTATCTGTCAGTTCTTTTAAAAAAAAAAAAAAAAAAGGTGAATAAGACATGAGGTAAAGCGCAAAACAAAACAAAAAGTGCCGTATGGAATTTCAATGCGAATAGAATAAGTGGAGGAGGCGTGATACAGAGGTGATAATACGGTCCAAACTGTGCCACAAACATCCACGGCGGGCCTACTTATGCAGTCAAGTTGCTCTTACAGCTGACTAGATAGAAGCGTGGTCCGATGCAAATCAATCACTCCCTCCATACATTATGTGCTCTTCATTAAACTGAAAGTGATGACAGAGCTATCATGTCCCTTTTTACTGATGACCTACTGCAGTGCATCAGTCCATTAAAAGTCCGCTCGTTGCAAATGTGAAGCTATATTGTCAAGCAGTTGTGAGTGTGTGAGTGTGAGCGTGTGTGTGTGTGTGTGTATGCGCCATACCTGCTGCGTTGACTCTGTTCAAACCTCTTGGGATGTTCTCTTTCTCCGGGCTCGTTTCATTCACCAAAGAGTTCTGAGTTCTGTATGGAGACAAAGAACGTGGTCCAAGGGTTTATGAGAAAATATACATGTATGCACTAATCCTTTCAAATTCAAAAAGTGATTACCCCATGATTTACGTAAACAAGTCCGGTGTTTCAATGACTGACCATTTCAGCGTGACAGCAAGGAGACCCAGTGGTACAGAAAGTGGAACCAGCATCATTGTACTGTGAAAAGTGCCATTAGCAAATGAATCCCTCGTGGCGCGGTATCATCTTATATGAAATCTGACAATATCTGTCAAACCCCTACTGTGTTGGCCACACACACACGCTTCACACACCCATTCCTCTATTCCTGTCTCCAAAGCACTTTTCCTCCCACTTAACGCCTCAAACGCACAGACGAAGAATTCGATGTGAGCAAGCACATTAGGAGGAATAACTAGTAAAAGAAAGTGAAGCCTCTTCAAAGTAGTGGCGTGCTAATAGCTGTGGGCTGTCACTAGTCCTGTGTGTAGGTATGGAAGATCTGCCTGCATGAAGCCTGACAGGTGTCTTGTGTGTATACGTCTGTGCACGTGCGCATGCGTTGCATTGAAGTGGAGTGCCACCCGTATTACAGGGAAGAGGCTTGTTCCCTGGTAATTGGGTTGTTCAGAAGCCAGGAAGGAGCTCCCAGCAGTGAGGAGGAAACACACGTCCTGTCACGTTGCTTGTTATTAGCAAGGACAAGGCTGAGAAGAGATGAGACGAGCTCTGTGTGTGTGTGTGTGTGTGTGTGTGTGTGTGTGTGTGTGAGCGAGGGAGACTCCATAACAGTGTCTATGATGAGGGCGTACCGCTTCTCATCTCAAACCACTTCACCCAAGTGTCCCCTGTCCATATAGGCTGGCAGCAGTAGAGGTTGACAGTACTTGGCTTGTATACGCCTCGGTCTCTTCCTCCCTCATGGTCTACTTTTCGGAGGCCAGCATGCTGTCAGTGGCCCAGCTATCAATTCTGGGCCTTGAGCAGTGTGTGCCCTTGGAGGACAACTCTGAAGAAACTTGTGAGCAATAACTAAAGAAAATTGAAGTAATGTGGAAGTGCATGTCAAGTGCCACAGCGAGAGAAACCTGTGCACTGCATTTTCTACTAGTTTTAACTCCAGCAAGGTTACTGGGAAAAAAAAAAAAACCTCCCCAGCTTCCTTTTATCTAAAACAGTGGATCTAGTTGATCTCTTTACAGGCTTTTCTTAAAGCCAGCTGATACTGGCAGCCAGCACTATGTGCAGGTCTGGTCAAAATTGATAGATAATGATATAGTCAAGTGGTATGAAAAGATAACAGCAACACAGCAATGCACAGAGCCTGATTAAACCACCAGGAGGAAAACCTCAGTTTAATTACAGCTTCCCTTCTGCTAACAGCACTCAGTGCCACGCCGCCAGCCGGCAAGTCAAATGGCCATCTAAACAGTCAGTCAATCAGCCGCCCTGTCAGCTTGGTATAGCTTGGACATGTGCCCTAATGCCAGCTTGTATGCTGGTGTAGAAGAAACACACTCACACCATCACCCATATATAACTGCAACAGCCTCAAGTCACACAAAATCAGCCTAATGCATACCAACAGCAAGAAATTAAAGATATAAGGGTCACGTGGCTCCTCAAAACCTTTGTGACCTGATGCGCCTTTTTTTTTTTTTTTTAGAAAAAAAAAAAAAAAAAAAACCATGCCAGGGTTTTATCTTATGCCTCCAGTTTGAACATGCGGTAAAACACTGAACACCGGTATTTCTTCGCTAACACCATAATCACATTTGTGCTCTGTAAGCGTAAGACTTTCACACTTTTTGTTTTCATATTTTAAAGACTAAGAATTACAGACGAGTATTCTAACAAACATACTTGATTTCTTACGTGAAATATTTAAATTATTACTGAGTCATAGCAGCTCTCTCAACACAGAGGGTTTTGTATCGCAAATGCTTAGAGAGTGAGGAGTCTGTCAGACTCCGAAATGCTTCAACATAAGATGTGTTAATTGATTAAGAGTGTCAAGATCCCTAAAAATATGTATAATATCCTGAATTCAAGCATGAAAATGAGGAAACAAGATTTCCTTTTTGCTTCTGTTCTAAATTTATCACAGGCTTTGTCATTTTGATTTCATTCTTTCTTTTAGGGTCAAATGATTTTACATGCCCTTTGGCATTTCTTTATCTCAGCTGCACAGACTGCGTTCCCTTGTTTTATTCAGTTCCTCTCATGTCTATGTCAAAATAAACTAAACCCATAAAACTGTGGGGGGAAAACAGAAAGTGGAAAGAGAGCAGTGATGGAGAGAAGGAGGAGATCTGTGCAGTGCATGAACCAGTAGCCTTCGCATGAACCTGCTCCCTGGTGACTCCTGCCCTTCTCCAGGCCAACTACCTGCTGGTGGAACAGCAGATGTCTGATATGGGGTATGGAGCAAGTGTATGTGTGTGTGTGCGTGTGATTCCATTGAAAAAAGGGATTTAGTATGCGAGGGCAGATCAAGAGAGGTGGGGAAGGGGGTGAAGGCTGAGAGCTGGTGGTCGTAAGGGAAGACACAAAGGCCTGATGGGATATCCTAGTCTATCTGTCGACCCCCTGTCCAAATCAGACTCAGTACTGTGTGTGTGTAGGGGTTTAACCTCCCTGTGCACCCCTCCTGTCAGCCAGCACACACTGATAGGATCAGACCTGGGCATGACCCATCACATGCCAACTCCTCACGCTCTGTCTGACCTCCATTTGTCTGTCTCCAGCTTTCCCTCAGTCCCTCCATTCATGCATCTCGGCTCCTCACCTCCACGCACTCCTCCTCTCTCCAGGTGTTCCTTTGTTCCTTTTCTCTCGCATTTCTCATCGGATCTGTACATTTTCACCCGTTTTGCCTCATACTGTGTTGTCTAAACTTAACTATGTGGGTGGAAACCTGACAATGGAGGTATAGTAGACTGCCGTTTGAATAGATCCGTTATTTTAGACGCACAAAAGCCAACAAAGATGGGACAAAAATAAGCGAAAGACTGGTACAACTAATTTGACAGGGTGGCTGATTTTCTTGTGTAGCTTCAGTGAAATCTGACCAGCAACACACTTTCAGTTACACAAGCGCTTTTTGTTAACTCTCAAAAGTTCTTTGTGCACACTGTGCAGCAAGAAACGACAGTGACTGGATGTGATACAGCCTCAAAAACCGGACAGCTTTCCTGCGTGTTTTTCTAATAAGGTCTTCTTTTTTTTTCAACCAATGAGAAATGACTTAGACGAGTGTGAAAAACAGAGAAGAGCAAAGGACTTGCAACAACGCACACTGCCATTTAAAATCCCCTGGCTGATCTTTAAACATGAGTAAATTTTCTCGCAGTCCAGTGCAAGACACTGAAGTGAGAAAGCACTTACAGGGTCAAAAGTGTGTTGAAGTTGGTATAAAATGCACCAGAGTCTCAGACCAACTTACTGACCTTTGTGCAGCCTCCACCTCTGCATGTATGTCCTTGCATGTTTTGCTTCAGGCTCTTATGAGAATGTACAATGGAGACTAAGAGTGGTATAGACAGACAGCTGTGTGTAACTGACCTGCAGCTGGTCCCCTGACTAGTGCAGCTGTGCGAGGTGGGTCCAGTCCTGAGGCGAGTACCACTGGGACTCTGAGCTAAACTTCCCAGAACAGGCAGGTAGGAAAGCACCTGTCAGAAGTCACACAGACACGCACAAGGTTAGACAGTGCCTTTACACTGCAAGTGGATGTATGTGTCCTTGGGGAATGGAGGAGTTACAAAGACACCAATGGTGAGTGAGAAAGCCAGATGTTCTTCTGCAACATAATATAACGGGTAGACCACATCAGCAATCTTTTCTCTCTGTAGCACAGAACTGTAATCTACACCAATTTTCAAACTACCATATTATCTAATGCGGAACATCTGTGTGTGTGTGTGTGTGTGTGTGTTTGTGTGTTTTTACCATAACACAAAAGCACACAGAAATGTTATACAATAGTGATGAAGTTAGTACATTCAATTATTTATAGTTTGTTTGGTTGTACAAGAATTTGTGCAAATGTAATTATATCACATATTCATGATGTTGTGACTTTGGAAACCAAGAGGATTTTTCCAGTCCCTTAGTTGAAAATGAAGGAGATCTAATCATGTAATAGAAAAGTATATATATCAAAGTCTGTCAATGGAAAGATGCCTATAGAGTAAAGGACTGTTAAGAGGGATTATACGCACCATTTTCTTAAGAGACAGTGGTACATCTTCCACAGTAACTCCATTTCTGCAACAGAGATTCCTGAATATGGCATCAGCCATCATCAGCTTAAGCCTGGTAGAGCGAACTCTGACAACCAGTTCAACCAAAACAACTGGAGATGCATCTAAGGTAGAAAACAGAAATAACCCCATGTCAGAAATGATTGTTGTTTTTTTGTATAAAGAAAATCAGAAAGACAAGAATTGCTCCCAGTGTTACACAAGTGCATGATTAAAAATGCAAAACTTCTGCTTAATGTTGTGACTAAATTACTTTAAGCATTTTAATTCAGCTGGCTGCTGCTGAAAAGTTTTAACTGTGAACTCAAAGACAACATTTACAAATCCACAGCAGAACTTTCAGAGAAACTAAGAGCAGACATTCTTCCAGATATTTTTCCTGTTCTGCAGTTTTTCAGTTTTGACTCCTTACCCTGGCTTATAACAGCGAGGTGTTCTGAGAGGTCTTTCAGGCCTTTTTCCACGAGGATCTGGTTCAGTTTGAAGTGTTGCTGACACCAGAACTCCACCAGCACAGACAGGAGGTCCAGCAGGGTGTCGGCCAAATGCAGCTTCTGCTTCTCATCCCTCTCAGCATAGTCCTTCAATGAAGATAAACAACATCACACTGTGGACCTAGCAAGCTCTGAGAGCAACACTAACTTTATTTTTCTAGTCAGATCACAATTCTGAACCCAGCTGGCTCTTATAGCTCACAATAAACCCAATTTCACTGCCTGATATGAACAAAACAATCCAATCCAATTAAAATAGCTAAGTATTTACCTCCATGGCAGCCTGGACCAAGAGCTGAGTTAGCTGTTTCACAGCAGACGACAACAGGGTTGAGCGCTCCCACACAGTCCAGAAGGTTCCGTACAGCAAAGAGCCTGATGCTGATGCTGGAGAGATTCTTGTTCCCTGCAGCACCATGAAATCTCTAAGGCAGAGAGGAAGGCAGGGATAAATAAAAGCGAGATAGACTATCTAATGTAACCAATACAATTATCATAAAAAGAGAAACAAAGGCATAAACATTTGTGAAATTAGTATTTCAAATAAATATGCAGTTTAAGAAGCAATGCAAACTCTTCTAAACTTTACAAAATAAACGCAGAAAAGTGCAAACTGAAAAAAAAGTCAAATACAATGTGCATATTCAGTATTCTGTGCTGTTTTACTACGAGCCACTCCCTTGTTGTGAATTGAAACAAACATGTAACACCTCCTTCTAAAATACAATGATATCTTAAAGATTTCTGAAAGGAGTAGCTCATGTTTGTAGGAACATCCCTCCACACCCTTGTGCTTGAAAGACAGATGATGAGCTCTGATTAACTGTACTGTCCTATCTGCCCCTCAAGTCTACTGCAGTTGTTACCCGGCGGTGACGGAGTGGAGCTCCCCCTGGAAGAGCTTGAGGAAAAGTGCCAGAATGTCACAATGGAAATGTAACAGTGTTGGCAAGGCAGGTCCAGGGAGCGGATGACAGGTGACCTCGCTGGACAGGCAGTACCTGGAAGATCACACATACGAGTAGATATGAGAATTATTTTGCACATGAACACGTTTCCGACCAGAGTAATTGTTGAGGGCACAATGTGAGATATCAACTGGTTCCTTTTAATTGGAAACTGTCTAACATATAAACAATCAAAAGTATAAAATTATTAGTAAAAATAATTTCACAAGAAGTCGAACGTCAGTTTCACCTGATGGCGGTCTCTAGAAAAGGCCACAAGCCCCTTTTACACTGAGGACACTGCAACACTTGAGTAAAATATTTTTTCACTGTGCTGGGAGCCAACCATGGAGGGTTGGTAAGGAGCAGGCTATCCATGACCTGCTGGAAATTCCTCAGGAAGACAGATGTGGCGGTACCCTGTGACAAAGTGCACACATAACAACAGAGGCTCCATCAGTTTGGATATTTAGATGTATCGGAAAAAAAATTCAAATTACTGAGAAGCTGCAACAATTTACTCGTTGATGCCAGAAAATGAATTGTTTAAATAATTTTTCTAGTAAACATTATTTCTGCTTTTATCTATTGAATACTGTAAACTCTTGTCTTTGGGGTTTATACATTTGCTAATGCCATCAAGGACTGTTGGGGAAAAAATGAGAGGACCTTTCCTGATATTTTATAGACGAAATGCTTAATCAAAAACAGTAATTCACCAATTAACAAGTAAAATAATCACCAGTTGCAGCTCAGTATTACAGCTCAATCCAACAACACTTAACCAAATCAACATGCCTCTCTGTGCATACTTTCCAAATTTAAAAAATGTTGTTGAACAAGTGATACTTCTGTACAGCCTCTGGGGCTCATGCAGACGAAGGTTGGCAGTTCTGTAGTCTGGTAATTCTGGTCCTACCTGCTGCGCATACTCTAAGAGGGAGATCAGGTACGGAGCTGGTGGCAGCAGGCCTGGGAACACGGTGCTTCTGATTGAGTCCAAGGCTTCAATGAAGAGACCGCACTCTATCATGCTACCAACGTTGCTGAAATCTGTTTCTGTTGCCTGGAGGAATAAAAGAACAAAGGGAAAATGTAAGAGGTATATGGAAAGAAGGAGGGAACGCGGCACTCAAAGAGACAGATGGTGGAAAGATAAGAAGAAAAAAAACGAGGGCAGAAGGGTAATGGAAGTAAGAATTGAACGGGCATTAAAAGTTTCCACGGGTCATTTCTGACTGTCGCTTATTGGCAAATAGCATATGGACTCAAAGTATAGAATGGGAATACATGAGCACTTCTAATAGCAATCTGACGGATATCCACTTGGGTAACGTATGGACAGTACAGTGGAGAGTATTGTTAATAGGGCTGCCAATCAAAACTCTCAAATCAGCTGACAGTGGTGGTTAAATCGGTGACCTGGGTATGATGCGTCCTTGCTCTAGGTGTCACTTTCCATAGAAATGTATGACATAAAGGAAATTGAATGACCTGATCCTCTTGATGAAACACATAGTTATCTTAGAGATGTATAGCAGCGAGGAGGTTGATATGTATGCACGTCTACCTGTGACTGGGGACGATAGGGGTCATGGTAACCCAGAAATTCAAGGAAGCACAGTCTTGGCCGGCCCTACAGGAAAAGATCCCATTAACAATGTCAAATACATACAAGACAGCAATAAAAGGTCATTCAAGTGAACAGTGTGTGGTCCAAATACGTGTTTGTTAAATCTAAACATTATGCTGCAATGCTGCTCTGCAACCTGCTTTCACAGGCAAAACACCAACAACAACAACAACACAAATACACACCTCCTGTTTGATGACATAGTTCTTGAGCTCTGCCTCCAAATTCGAGAAGTCAACATCAACAAATCTGGCCTTCGTCTCTGCTGGGTGATCCTCTGTTATGCTGAAATTCATGTCCACATGATTGCGCTGCAGAACCAGAACATCACCAAAATTGAATCATCTGTTCATTGTGCCATTATCAACATTTCCAGAAAATTTCATGAAATTCGTTCATAACTTTTTCAGTTATCTTACTAACAGACAAACAAACAAACAGATAAACGCCGGCTAAAAAAAAGCAAAAAAAACCCTTAGCTGTTCTATAAATTAGTTTGACTTACCCCAAAGAGGTGCTGGACTATGTGGCTCACTGGGTAACAAGGAGCGTTGTGCGATTTTGAATTCTCTGTGACCGGTTTAGCCATAACATGAGTGATGGAGGCATGGGAGGGGAGAGGGCAGTGGTAGACTTTGGCCTTCCCTGCTTTCAGCAACCTGAGAAAAAATAACGAATATTATATGTTAGGGTTATCAAAATAAACGAGGTAATGCAGATTAATCCAACAGCGTGATTAATCTGATTACATTTTTTAACACAATTAACCCATCTGAATGACTCAAAATCCCTGAAATGTCTCTGGCAACGCATTTCGGGCAGTTTGTCCAAGTAGACTTACCGTTGCGTATGTCGCTGCACATGCGCAAATGTGCAGTTGATCGGACGCTTAACAGTACGTTGGCCCTCTCAGTGACAAATGTGAATACAGAAAACCCCATGACGGAACAGTCGACCGACATATAGTAATATGCACACTCTGCAGGAACGACTTTTCTTTTCACCGCAGCACTTCCAGCTTAGGGCTGCAGGGTGGCGCAGTTGGTAGCACTGTTGCCTCGCAGCAAGAAGGTCGCCGGTTCACGTCCCGGTGGGGGCACCGTGCAGCGTGGGTTCTCTCCGGGTTCTCCAGCTTCCTCCCACACAGTCCAAAAATTAATTGGTTAATTGGTGATTCTAAATTGTCCGTATGTGTGAATGTGAGTGTGTTTGGTTGTCTGTCTCTAAGTGTAGCCCTGTGATAGACTGGTGACCTGTCCAGGGTGTCCCTTCGCCTTCGCCCTAAGTCGGCTGGGATAGACTCCAGCCCCCCCGCGACCCTCGTGAGGATTAAGCGGTGTATAGATAATGGATGGACTTCCAGCTTAAAGTACCACATTAACACGACGCATGCGTTAGTTGTGATTAATTGAAATGAATCAGCAGCAACCCTGTGATTAATCTGATTTAATATATATATATATAATTATATAATTATTATTATTATTGTTATTATTATTATACATGGCAACTTAGATGAACATAGATGAAGGTTTTGTTGTGATACATAATAAAATATATTTCTAAGTAGGACCTCACCGTTTGAACATGGCTCTCCTTGTGGGCTCTTGCACCATCAGGAGAACCCTCCAGCCCTGGAAGGCCCCTGTTAGTCTCCCACTGGACACCTTCTCCCTCCATTGTCTGACAGGGTAGAAGGCAGCAGTGGAACTGGTGGAAATGGTCACCTCATAGGGTTTCTCTGCCAGCCAGGAACCATTCTTAACACTATCCAATACGTAGTCCGGAGTCACAACCCACTTTCCTGGTAGGGCAGAAGCACCAAGTGTAAAATCAAGTGAAAAGAGGCTGGTGTTGTGGCAATCATGAGACGCAAAACAACAGTTAAATGGATTAGGTTTATGTAACTACAAAAAATGAGGTATTACCTATTTTTAAAGACTAACATTTTTTTTTTAAAGAAAATGTAATAATCATGACTGACCTGCAGCACAGGCTGCCAGAAACTTCTCACTGGACAAAACCTGAGGGATAATGAGGTGGGTGCTGGAGTGCTGATATACCTGCAACAAAACCACTGAATCAACATGCTGACATGTAGTATAGAGGGTTTCATATTAAATAATCAAAAGATACATTTGTAGATGGAGCTGGGCAATGATGCAAATGTTGCAATCAAAGCATGTAAACTCATGTTCAGTGCAAATTCCCCTGCTTGACTGTCATGTGTTACATCAGGTGCAGTTTAAGACTTTAAAGTGCAACAAGGCTATTCAAAATTCAAAACTAGATTACACTTTAAAGGGTTATATGCACTGAAACGCTGCAGAACCATATCAGAAAAAGATCCTACCTGTAAATCACTGGTCTGTTTTAAATCATTCAAATTATACACAACTATAACAAAACACAGTGGTAGACCAGTTGAATAAGCTACAGTATTGAGCACATAGTCTGTCTCAGTGTGAACACATCTGCCTGACATGAATTGCACACATCGACAGAGAGAAAAACTGTTGTCAGCCACAGGCAAATTTACTGAATATTTACCAGCAACACAACAATGAAGCACCACGGCATTTACCTACTTCCAGCTACCCAAAGCAGTTAACTAAAAAAGCACTGATACATACATTACTCCCAGTCTGTCAGTGAATGCTGTCTAACTTATAAATACATTTACATCAATTATAATAAATGAATGTAAACATCATTTAAAAAAAAAAAGGTGCTCTCACAGGAATTGAAATAAATTAGTAATTTAATTTTAAAAGTAGATTTAGGCTCATAGGCCAGCTGATAACAACAAAACCAACACATGGCTCCATTCAATACATAAAGCTGATGACTGACTGTACACAACAAGTCATCATTCAGTCAATTACATGACTGACAGAACAGTAATCAAATACAGTTTTAATAGATGATGGAGCATTTTTGCAAAAACAATTTATTGATCTTCAAATAAAAATAACTGCCTGGTTTTCCTTATTTTGGGTGTCTAGGTTGCTTGTGACACTAGCAACGAGTTTTTAAAAATTACCACGCTTAAGTTTTTTTTTTTTTTTCCACAAATATATCTAATCATCATTAGATACATCAGAAAGAAGGAAATTACTTGTAAGCTGCAATTAAAATTTTCGTGGCAAATTTGTTCCGGATTTGCAGCAAAGATATTAGTTTGCCAGAACACACTGTCACAGGTTTGCCAGTGTTGGACAGTCGTGACAAACTTTCAGCAACATTCTGCCAGTAATGAGTTTGCCACTTCCTGCAAACACATTCACCACCACAGTTTGCCAGTAGTGTTAAACTTCTAGTAACGCTGTCGTAATGAGTTAGTCATACACAGCATTTCAGGTAGTCTTGCTTTGTAAACCCATTATGGCTGCACCACTCTATCATTTGTTATAGAGCAAAAGGACGCTCCGGCTTGTTTGTATTTACCAAAACCATGCAACGTCAGTGTTCCCTCGAAAGTGTGACAATCCACTGAAAAAACAACACGGCTGCAATACTACACGATCCAAACCCTCAGCAAAACTTCCCATAACAAAAGAAAACTGCAACATTTTTTTTTTTACCCTCTGTATCTGGTTTATAATTCCTCTAGTTTGATTTAAGTAATGCTTGCACAGTGGTTTATTTGTTAGCGCTGTCCCCTTCCATCAACAAGTTTCTGGATCCAAATCTGCTCGTCAGCTGCTCTCTGTACCTGGATGTGTTTACTCCATTTTAAATTAAATGGTGATTCTAAATAGGTAATAGGTATGAATGTGAGCATGAATGGTTGTCTGGGGGTGTGTGTATGTGTTATCCCTGCAACAGAATCATAATCTGTACAGGTTGTACCCTACCTCTTGAATTCTAAGAGGCTTAGCCACAGATACATATAATATTAATTTGTGCCAAACTTGTCGGCAACAGTGAACGTTCTAGCAAACCTGAGAGAGACAACTCTTTGCCATAGGTCTCCCACAAAGACAACAAGAAGTCTATTGTCAGTTTGCCGCAAATCAAATTTGCTTATGAAATGTGACCTTGATGCAGTTTACAAGTTTACAACAAGACTACCAAATGTCAACATCAGCTGTCTGCCAGACAGCTACAGCTTCTCTTAGGGAATATGTAGACTTAGACAGCATCTAAAAAGCCGTTTTCACCAGATGTTTTACGGGATTTCTACTCACTGAGCCACCTATGTATTTCCCACCCAGCTGTTGGATTCCCTGCACCAGAGCTCTCTTCTTATCTCGGGTTTTGATCCCAGAGATCTGGAAAACATGTGTGCAGCTCTCCATCCTGAGGAACAAACTAAAGAAGAAAGTGAGGTTAAAGTCAAGTAAATTACATGTTGTACAAAGTCACGCAATTCATTAGGGAAAATAATGCTGCACTTCTTGTTAGGCTACATGACTTACATTGCTCTCAAGTTTAAAAAAAAAAAAAAAAAAGTATGGCTCTACTGTAGCTCCCTGCTTTATGTACTGCTTTTAATAAAAATCTGCATGTTAGACCCTCAGGGTTGACTACATGATCCTGATTGAAATCTGCGTTGGCTTTTTTCATTCATCAATAGTTCATCAACAGCTGTCTGATCAAGTACCTTTCTCATACCACCGATGATGACTCCCAGTTAAGGCGCGCCCAAACTCTGACAGTGACATCCAACAACGTGGGCAGCGTTTGGACCAGTAAGTGGCTTCCAGAAACTTGTTTATCTTCGCAAATCAACATAAAAGTGTAGTAATGTGCTCAATAGTGTTGCTAAACGGTAGAAATCCGTTTGATCCTGGAGCGGGTTCACCGCTCAGCTGCCATGAGTGGACAGCTTCACAGTGTAGCTAACTATCTTGGGAAAGGGGAGACTCGTATTAGGGTAAAATATTGTACGCACATTAGTAAGATTTGAAAGACTTTATATTCGATATAAAACACAAAGCTTAATTAAAACGGTGTATTGTGTAAAATATTGTGTTTGACTCGTAAAATGTACACATTCTTCTGTCATTGTGAACAACTTTCACCCCCCCGTTTGGTTTGTCAGTTGGAACGTTCCACAGTGCGGAAGTTTTCACAGAGCTACTTCCAGGTTGTTGTCACGGACGCTTACTGCCCCCGGAAACAACCAAAAATACCTGGATTTCATCAAGCACTGATGAAGTAACGGCAATATTTGATCGATAACAGTGAAACGTGATTTCTGACACAGAGGCTGCCCGTTAAACCGCACGGATGTTCACAAAAACAGCTCAGTGAAGTGTTTCGCTCAGTGACAGCGATAGATGCGCTGTTAGTCACAGTAATGTAAATTATATCACATGCTGGCACATTAGCCGTTAAGTAGTCTTGATTTGCTGTTTTGACAGAGCTACAAATAGCTGCTGTGGAGAAATATCTGCAAGACGTGAGTGCAAACGATGTTGTTGACATTTTCCCTCCCTTGTCCTGGATTAACACTGGCTGGATTAAGGAGCTTGTGAAAGGTAAGACACCCAAGAAACACTGAATCGGTGCTTTGTTTGTTTGGGTGTTCTGTCATAAAACAACCCACACGTAACAGTTCTATCAATTTTTGATTAGATGAGATGATCAGAGTAGATTAGGTTCAACTTTACTGTCGTTGCAGAGAGCACGTGTACAAACACAACGACAAGCATGTAACCTGAAGAGCAAAAGAAGCAGTAGAAGGGCAGTGCCATGTGAAATGTCAAAGTAGAATTGGTCAGTATGAATGTGCAAAGATATATGCAGTATAAGCAGTATCAACAACAAAAGCAGTGCATGAAAGTATGCAAGATATATGGATTGCCTAAAGGTATAAATAGTGTAAAAACAGAATAAGATGGAGGTAAATAATGTAAAGATAGATAACTGTAAATGTAAAGATAGGAGTAAATGAGAGAATGGACGGTATAAACATTGGATATGAGATGCAAGATGTATACAGTTTATGCACCGTACAAACAGTGTGATGTGTACTAGTGGGGCAAAACTGTTTATGTGACACAGATGCCGTGAATCTACAACCTTTTATACAAAATACAGATAATGTATGACACCCAGCAAATACAGTGTTACTTCTTTACTATAGTTACAAAGGCTGCTGTGATCTGAAAGATCTTTGTGTCTGGTTGCATGGAAAGGTGCCACAACAAGTAGGTAAAATTCAGCAGCCCAAGGTTTGGCCCTCCCATTGATGTGTTGCTTAAGCCTACAAACATGCACTATGTTTAAGGCTGGCACTACTTGTATTTTCTGAAAATAAGAGTCAGAGAACAGCCTTAGTGTTGGCATGATTAGAATATAATAAATCATCCCCCCCCCAAAAACGTTTGGATAATCTGTAAACCATTTATTAATTAATCATTCGCTTTTAGATGTTTTAAATTAGTTTCTCAAAAGTGATGATGAGCATGTTTTACTCTTTTCTAAAGTTCTGTGGTCGGTATGATTAATTAGGTGACCACAACTCTGATATAAAAGGTTAAACAGTGTCAATACTTGGCCAAACACCACCACCACAAAAAGCAAGTAAAGGTCAACAGCTCAACTCTCTCAGTGATTGTCACTAATTCCTATACCTGCCGACAATATCTGTGGCTAATACCAGAGAATACTAGAAGAGACTGCTGACATTTATGTAAAATGTTACAAACTAAAAATTAAATGAGAAGAAAATGCATTTTATCCCCTGGCACTAAAATGATTAGTTCATAATTCATTAGCTGATTGACAAACTTAATCAAACACAAATAATTATTGATAGATTTGATAATACATTAATCATTTCTGTATTAATTAAAAAGTCATAAATGGCAGAGAAAAATAAATGGGATTATTTCATGCCTTTTGTTCTTTTGTATGTTATTATGTAAAAGAAAAAAGACATCTTTGGTTTTTAGCTTTAGGTAACTGGACAAATCAAGATGATGAAGGATTTCACAGAAGGGTCTTGTAAACTCTGATTTTTATTTGTCACTATTATCTAAGATTTTACAGATGAAAAGATTGATTACTTATAAGAATTTGTTAATATATTAAGATGTTTTTTATCATACAATGCAAATAACTGTTAGTTGCAGCCCTATTGGGCACCATGCATCTTTACAGTGTACGCTATATTGATATATTTACTTTTTTAGATTTCTTGTCACCTGTCCTGTAATAAAATTCAACCATTTCACCTTTATGTGTATTTGTCAGTTGTCCTATACTGAATGTGTGGTTGGGATCAGAGCATTTAGGTTTACTGAAAGCATGACAGTTGGGATGCAATAAGCTGCATAATGTTATCTGCCCCAGTGTGACAATATTGTTTTGTTTTTCAAGGGTTGTAATTGACTCATTGCTCAGGGTACTTTAATACTGTTGAATGATGGTGATTACTTCGCAAAACAGCAACAACTAGTAATATTGGGATTATGCCATGTATTATTCATTCCCTGCGTGTAAGCTAATCACAAAGGCATTTGTTATGTTGATGCAAAGTTGTTGCACCATGATCTCTGAACAGTTGTACACATCATATTTTAAGAAGATATTATGTCCACATATTTTCCTGTTGCAAAGAAGGGGAAAAAAACTGACCCATGCGTTTTAATAAGATTTGTGCCTTCTCGGTTCAGCGGAAATGTTACATCTGATGAGACACATTTAATAAAGCCCAAAGCAGACAGGACCGGCTGTAACGGGGAAAATCAGTCAACAACCATGTAATGAAGCAGGGCCACTTGGTTGTACAGTAACAGCGAAGTCGTGCCCTCCCCAGGGTGTGCATGAGATAGCTCTCAGCATTGTTGTGATCTTAGGATATGCACCTGTTTAATTTATTATGTTTCCTTTACAGCAGACTGTTAGGTACCCCCTTTAAAATAATGTTGACTTTAACTTGACATGCTCTAAGTGGTTTTAAAGCGGCAGCCTGGGGGACATGCTGCTAAATATTTCAGGACAAACTCATTACTGTAAATGGGCCTGTGTGTTAGCCTAGCTGGGGTAGACAGGCAGCAGCAAGAGAGATAGGACAGTGATGTGTGTGTGAGTGTGTGTGTGTGTGTGTGAGACAGAGAGAGAGAGAGAGAGAGAGAGAAAGACTGCGTTTCTTCTCCTGTTCTAATAGCTGTGGAGTTGATGTCTCAGGCAGGCAGCGTCTCAATGCCTGGCCCAGTTGTCCCTGTTGCAACTCTGTGAAACACACGGGGGCTTCTCCAACATCTGCTTTCTAAAGAGCTAATGACAAGACAATGGAGACTGGATGATTTAAAGTATAGTACTAATGAGGCCCAGTGTGCTGCCTGCTGAATCCTAACTCACACACACTCACATGTACGCACTCCTGCTTAAGATAACAGATGATATGATGGGCAGACCAGGAGGCAGACACCCAGCAGACGTGCAGTGTGGACATTCAAACCTTCTGTCCGTCTGTCTGTCTATCCTTACACCTAAAGAACGGTACCGTGTTGGAGAGGCACACACACAAAGAGACACTGTTCGAAATCACATGCACGCACTGTCTTGCTCAGTCCATATAATTACAATGTTGAGTTCCTAATCCACGGATTGAAAATCCTCTCCCCTTTCAGCAATGACTGCGTATAGACCCCCTCTCAGACAGTGGCGCAGAGGGAGCGTGATGATGAGGGGAAGCAGTAAGAGAGAAGAAGAGAGGGAGAAATAATAAAGGACAAGCTTAACTGGTGAGGCTGTCAGCGGAGGAAAATAATATTTGTCCAGCTGGACAGGCCTCCCTTTGTGCAGGCTAAATGAATGTTGAGCTTCCTGTCTACCCTGTCAGGGAGAGTGGCATAGACTGTATGCTGCAGCGAAGAAGCAGAGCGGAGTGCGGGGAGCTGTTTGGAGTTTGACAGGGATTATTAAAATCAGAGCAGATGACGAGGAAGGGGCGAGAGGCGGAGTGTGAGAAAGCCAAATTGACACAGACACTCTCCATTACCTTCCACTTGACTCGCGCTGATGACAATGTTGATATGAGATCCAGCAGCGCAGCACCAGTGTGGGATTGGCTGTTAGCATGAGCGTTAAGCACCACAGGGTAGGGGAGGTAGCCCTCAGTTCTGGAAGAGACCATGAGTTGTTTATTTAAAGCCTTGACTGAAGAGCATCTCACCTCATTGTTTATTTATTTGGTCTTTTTTTTTCCTGTGTTAACTCTCTGTAGTGTCAGTAGGTGGAAATGGTTAGAGGCTGAGGCAATGCATTTTGATCAGGGGCCCTCCTACTGCAAATGATTTTCCCAGAAAAGGGGAGGGGGACTGGAAGAAACTGTTTTTGTTGATGATAAGCTTCCTTTTGTTTCAGGTGAAATTGATTTGTGCCCCCTAATAACACTCCTGTTTGAGGAAATTTCAAATTATTATAGAACACATGATTGTGTTGGTGTCGGGTGTGCAGAACGTGTGTGTCTCTTGACAGACAGCTGTGATAATACGACACTCCAGATCATGCAGTTGATTGATGTCAATCTACATTGTTGATTCATTCCTGACATGAGTGATATCTTTTGTATTATTTTGTTTTATGAACTGGTGCACATCAAATGATGACGTTTTTAATGGTATACAGCCAATTCTCTCTCTTGCAGAGCATCATGGAATGGCCAGGGGATTTTCCTGACGACCATGCCTTTGTGGACCTGCTGGTTCCAGGAGTTTCCA